ACCCTGAGAGAGCGAAACAAAATGCGGCGTACGCACAAACTGAATCGCTCTGGATCCTGATTCTGATGACTGTACAGTCACTCCTCTGCTAACGTGTTGAGCAGCAAAATCTTGGGTGACCTCTGTAGTCTTTGGATCCCAGACATGATGGGGAAATCACAATTCGGGAAGAGTTGACACCTAACTTAAAACTATGCATCACTACCTCATGTTGCCACACTCTGCCACAGAACCTGGAAAGCAATTTTCATTTCTTACAGGCATCAGAAATAAGACATGTTTGAAAATGTACAAGAAAGAAGTTCACTTTATCCTACAAACAATATTGCCAAAGAACAGGGAAAAACCTCAGGGTGTCTCCCTCCACGTGGCCACAAGAGGGCGCAAAGGTACCACGGGAATCCCAGGATGACTGGCTGTGTCTGGCCAGAATGGTCCAGAGCCCAGACTGATTTTAGATGTTATTATTACTTCTTGTTACCACTTAGGATTACATCTCAGAGCTTCCCCTTTTCATCTAGGGACAATTTCACACCTCCTCCTGCTGCCCAATCTTTCCCTCAGACTCCATGGCCACAGGGAAAATAGCACGTAGGGAGGACCCCCAAAATGACATACTTGATTTGGCTGGAAACAAGTTCTCTCCATCAGATACTGTCCCAGGCAGAGTGTAACTCTGGGGAAATGACGATGCAGAGAATACATGTGAGAAAGACTTGTGGTGAGAGGTCCCTCTGGCAAAGGAAAGGAACATGGAGTAGTCACTGATGGGTGTGACTACACCATGTGTAGTGAAATCACTTTCACCTTTTTTGCAGGAAGATTTTCCATTTTATTGTTTATCGGAGATTACCACACAGCTGACCTCCTGACAAGGAGCAGCTATGAGAAAGAGGGAAGCCTGCAGGCTCTCGCAGGCCCGTGGCCACGGCCTTGGGGACCTGTCAACCAGACCAGACTCACACTTGCTCACATCTGCATCACCGTTGGTGTCAGAGAGAGAATTGGCGTAGTCTGAGTTCCCAACACTTCAGAACTGTGCACGCAGTCTCTCAGTGACCAACAGGGTGACTGATGAAACTGTGGCTTTGGTTAGATTTATACCAGTAGCTGCAGTCAGGATGGAAAATTGGGCAGAAGAGACATCTCTCAAGACCAAATGAAAAATCACCACCTTGTGACTTTTTTCTCTTCCAAAACTGATCTTCCGTGACATGAGGGAAACCTCAGAGTGTGAAGGGGACCCGAGGTTATTCACCCCCAAACTTGGCCTGGCCAACTGACCATCCCAGTTGGATGATGGTCCATCCCAGGTGTCTGTATATCCTCTTTAGATAACCAGTGCCTGGGACAGCCTGGCAGAGGCGGCTCACAGATGGTTCCATGCTGACTCTCTTCCCCTCCCAGCTCAGGCAATGCTAATCCCTGAACGAATGGCTGCCTCTTCTCCTTGGCACCAAGAGCACAGGTCTGCTCTGCCCTGACCTCACTGCCACCCTCAGAGCCTCAGTGCACATCCACTGCGTCATGGACAGTGGTGGGGCCCCTGGGAGAGTATTTTTTCCCCAAAACCCAAGTCAGACTCACTGTATCCAGTAAGTTCTGATCGGCCCTTCTCTGCCATCCTCCTTTATACACACGACGCCTGCACCCTCTCCCCGTTTGTACCTTGCACAATCACCAAAAGACACAATCCAATTGATTAGATCAGAAACAAAAAACTTGGACAATCATCTTGTTACTCAGCTAAGTGCAATAGAGGTATGGTTACATAGTCTTCAAGTGAGATTGTCAGAATAGTGTCCTAACCCTGTGAATCCTAATATGGCATCAATCCTGACATGAGATTGCTGTCTCAGTCTCCCTAGTTGGGAGTAGCTCGGTGAATTATGTAACTGAATTTTTTATCTTTTATTTCTCCAGCATGTCAAGTGGTACAAAATCCTATTAATTTATCCGAATAATTGACACAATAACAGCCATACATTGGTGGATGTTTTAATAAATCACATTTTCCGTAAGTCCCATATTTTCATCAATCCTATTCCTCTTTTCCTTTCTCCAGGCTGTTAACATCCACGTTGTAATTAACCATCATAGAAACATTTGTCATCTAATGCTGAACGTAATTTATTTTTTCAATATTCTCTATTGGGTTGCAAGCTATAAATATAACTACATTTGAAAAACCACCTCAAACACAGGTAATCTCAGACAGAAATAGACTATTAATAGTCTATTAATAAATAGAATTAATAAAATGATAAATAGAATTAATAAAAATAAATATTAATAAATTCAGCACGACCAAATAAGGGGAATGTGTTTTTTGTTTTTTTTAATTTTTTATTGTTATGTTAATCACCATACATTACATCATTAGTTCTTGATGTAGTGTTCCATGATTCATTGTTTGTGCATAACACCCAGTGCTCCACGCAGAACGTGCCCTCTTTAATACCTATCACCGAGGCTAACCCACCCCCCCACCCCCCTCCCCTCTAGAACCCTCAGTTTGTTTTTCAGAGTCCATCATCTCTCATGGTTCGTCTCCCCCTCTGACTTACTCCCCTTCATTCTTCCCCTCCTGCTATCTTCTCCTTCTTTTTTTTCTTAACATATATTGCATTATTTGTTTCAGAAGTACAGATCTGTGATTCAACAGTCTTGCACAATTCACAGCGCTCACCATAGCACATACCCTCCCCAATGTCTATCACCCAGCCACCCCATCCCTCCCACCCCCCACCACTCCAGCAACCCTCAGTTTGTTTCCTGAGATTAAGAATTCCTCATATCAGTGAGGTCACATGATACATGTCTTTCTCTGATTGACTTATTTTGCTTAGCATAATACCCTCTAGTTCCATCCACATCATTGCAAATGGCAAGATCTCAGGGCTTTTTTATAGCTGCATGATATTCCATTGTATATATATACCACTTCTTCTTTATCCATTCATCTGTTGATGGACATCTGGGCTCTTTCCATAGTTTGGCTGTTGTGAACATTGCTGCTATAAACATTGGGGTGCACATATCCCTTTGGATCACTACATTTGTATCTTTGGGGTAAATACCCAGTAGTGCAATTGCTGGGTCATCCGGTAGCTCTATTTTCAACTTTTTGAGGAACCTCGATACTGTTTCTTATGGCTGCATAATATTCCATTGCACATATATATGACCTCTTCATTATCCATTCATTTGCTGATGGACACTCAGGTTGCTTCCATATTTGGCTATCATAAATAATGCTGCAGTAAACATAGAGTTGCATATTATCTTTTCAAACTGGTGTTTTCATTTTCTTTGGCTAACTACCCAGTAGTGGGAATTACTGTTTTGTATGGCATTCCTAATTTTAATTTTTTGAGGAAACTCCATACTGTTTTCCACAGTGGTTGTACCAATTTGTATTACCACCAACAGTGCACAGGGCACCTTTTTCTCCACATCCTCACCAACACTTGTTATTTCTGTATTATAGTATTATATTCTAGATTCAATATACAAATAAATCATATGGCAATCGAGATGGGAAAGATGGATGAGGAGAGGGGGAGGTACTGGCTTCTAGTCATGGAATGAATAAGCTACGGGATGAAAGTACAGCCCAGGCAATAGGGTCAATGGTATTACAGTAGTGTTCTATGGTGACAGATGGGAGCTATGCTGTGGTGAGCAGAGAGCATTGTAGAGTTCTTGAATCACTATGTTGTGCACTCAAAGCTGATGTAACATTGCGTGTCAACTGGACTTCAAAACGTAACTAAATAAAAGAAAACAAAAGGGAATTCCAAATAGGTAAAGGAGGGAAAAGAGATTGACACCATGGAGCACTACTGTAAGAACTCATATTCTTTCTTATTTTAAAAAACTGGTATTTTTGATACTAGCCATTCTGACAGGTGTAAGGGGTTATCTCATTGTGGTTTTGATTTGCATCTCCCTGATGATTCGTGATGTTGAGCATCTTTTCATGTGCTGCCCAGATCTTCTTTGGAAAAATGTCTATTCAGGTTCTCTGTCCATTTGTAATCAGATTATTTGTTTTTTGGTGGTGAATTGTAAAAGTACTTTATATATTTTGGATGTTAGCCCCTTATTGGATGTATCATTTGCAAATGTCTTCTCCCATTTAGTAGGCTGCCTTCTCGTTTTGTTGATGGTTTCCTCTGCTGTGCAAAAGTTTTTCAGTTGGTGAAGTCCTGATAGTTTTCCCTTGTCTTAAAAGACATATCTAGAAAAATGTTTCTAAGGCTAATGTCAAAGAGATTACTGCCTATGTTTTCTTCAAGGAATTTTATGGTTTCGGTCTCACATTTAGGTCTTTAATCCATTTTGAGTTTATTTTGGCTTGTGGTGTAAGAAAGTGGTCCAGTTTCATTCCCTCACATGCAGCTGTCCAGTTTTCCCAACACCATTTATTGAAGAGAAGTCCCCATTGTGTACTCTTGCCTCCTTTGTCATAGATCAATTGACTATATAAGCACAGGTTTATTTCTGGGCTCTCTATTCTGTTGTTTATGTCTATTTTGGTGCCAGTCCCATACTCTTTTTGTTACTGTAACTTTGTAGTAGGGTTTGTAATCTAGGAGTGTGATACCTACAGCTTTGTTCTTCTTTCTCAAGATTGCTGTGGTTATTCAGGGTCAACCTTTTAAAAATAGAAGCGTTAAATGTGCCTGGAAAAAAGCTAAAGATGTAGAAATCTAGCAGAGGAAACAGAAAGAAACATTTAATTGTGTCCCTTCTCCCACACCCAGGCAGAATGGATTGTACCTCTTTTAGTTTTGCTCCAAGCGAAGGCAATCTTTTATGTCACTTTGCTCACATGAGAGATCATACCCCTCTCCTGCTGCTCTTCCCATGTGGCTGCACAGACTGGGGATTTGCATATTGTCCTCTAGGGAGGACCGTCCCTTGCCAGTCTGAAATAAAAGATCAACTCTCGACTTGTCTTTACCGACTAGGACTCATCGCTTTAACTTGTCAAAATGACGTTCCCTGCTCAGCTTCTGGGGCTCCTCATGCTCTGGTTTCCAGGTAAGGACAGAGTGCCCCAAGAGGAATGAAAATGGGAGGGGAGGATGAACTCTGAGGGTGCCAGAGTTTCCCACATAAATTTTGTTTCCATGTGAGATGGATGTCTTCCTACTGGGATGCAGCATGTGACTTTTAGATCTGTGAGAGAGGAAGAGTCCTGAAGGAAAAGAACCTGTATGTATTCTGGTGACTACTGTGGCACTGAAGACGTAGAGGACTTAGGTGGCCTCAAGAGATCCTGTTATCTCTTGCCAATCTCTGGTTGTTTTTTGAAATTGGAAAGTTTTGAGTTCTGAATCAAAATCCCTTAAAAAGCATTTTAGTCTGGAATAAAGAGCAAAGGGAAATTATGGAAATTTCTCACAATGTTTGCACTTAAACTTGCACTTCTCTCCTCTTACTTTAGGATCCAGTGGGGAAATCGTAATGACACAGACTCCACTGTCCCTGCCCATCACCCCTGGAGAGCCGGTCTCCATCTCCTGCAGGGCCAGTCAGAGCCTCCTACACAGTAATGGGTACAATTATTTGCATTGGTACCTGCAAAAGCCAGGACAGTCTCCACAGCTTCTGATCTATTTGGCTTCTAACCGTTTCACTGGGGTCCCAGACAGGTTCAGTGGCAGTGGGTCAGGGACAGATTTCACCCTGAGGATCAGCAGGGTGGAGGCTGACGATGTTGGAGTTTATTACTGCCAGCAAAGTTTACATGTTCTTCTCACAGTGGTTTAGCCCTGAACACAAACATCCCTGCGTGTCACGGCTCAGCTGCTCACAGGTGTTTTTTGGGAAGCAGGCACAGCAGATTCTCTCAGTCAGTGTAAGAAGACATTGGAGACCCCAGGGGACTAGGTTGAGGCTGCAGGCTCTGGACCATGAGGGCCTCGGCTGCACCCCAGCACCATCCTTTATGGCCCTGTCAGCTGAAACAGCCTTGACATGACATGCCTGTCAGGGAGAATGGGTGAGTTCTGAGCCACCAGCCAGGACAGAAGGAAGAGCTGAATGAAAGTTCCTCTGATCCTCCCCGCCTTGTGTACGGTTGGAAGTCAAACTCAGCGCAAAAGCCAGACAAGTGAAGCCATTCCTGGAAATGCAAGTGGAATTCGGTTGGTGCTTGACAGTTTTCATTGTTGATCACTGAGTCATTCTCCATGCCAGTTATATGTCTTTGCAGTTTTTCTATTTCTTCATTGCTGGTTCTTGTCAGCTTGTACATTTCTAGGAATTTGTTCATTTCATCTGGAAATTTCAATGTGTGGATGTACAGTTGTTCATAATACTCCCTTACTGTCCATTTATTTCTGTAAAATGTAGAAATGTCTGCATTTTCAAATCTGATTTTAGTAATTTGAGTGTTGCCTCTTTTTTCTTAGGCAAGCTGAAGATTTGCCGATCTTACTGATTTTTAAAGAACCAAACTCTAGTATGTTTTATTTTCTCTATATTTTAATTTTATTTTATTAATATCTTTTCCAATATCTGTAATTTCCTCCCTTCTGCTAACATTGGGTTTATTTTGCTCTTCTTTTTCTAGTTCTAAGATAAACAACTGCGTGGTAGATTTTATACTATAAGGAAATTTCAAAAATTGAATTCATTATATATTTACTAGATAATAGTCAACTCCCTTTAGCGTTTTCGTATTTTCAGTTAGAAAATGGCTCTCAACCTTTCTGCTTCCTTACTTCACTTAGAAACAAGTGTCCACATTCTGCTGACTCTATCTGCAGCTTTCATCTCTGCATCTTCAAGAGAAAATGTCACCATGCTGTGCAATGTATATGTGTACATATATAATGGAATATATATATATAATGGTATATATATGTGCATATGTGTATAATGGAATATTACTCAGCTATAAAAAAGAATGAAATCTTGCCTTTTGCAACAACATGGTTAGAGCTAGAGGGTATTATGCTAAGCAAAATGAGTCAGTCAGAGAAAGACAAATACCATATGATTTCATTCATATGTGGAATTGAAGAAACAAAACAAATGAGCCAAAAGGGAAAAGAGAGAGAGAGAGGCAAACGATGAAACAGACTCTTAATTATAGAGAACAAACTATAATGTTTGTCATGGTTACCAAAGGGGAGGGGAGTGGGGGTGGGTGAAATAGGTGATGGGGATTGAGGAGTGCACTTGCTGTGATGAGCACCTGCTGTTGTATGGACGTGTTGTACTGTACACTACATTGTACATCTGAAACTAATATTACATTGTATATTAACTGGAATTTAAATAAAAACTTTAAAAAAGCCAATAATTCTAATACTGCTGAAAGGAAATAAAAAGAATTATTTTGACAAGAAAGGACATTTTTTACATAGGGATTTTATCCACTGATTTTTAAAAAAAGAAGGAAGATCCCTCCCTTCCCCAGGGCAGGCAACAACGCAGGAACCACTGTTTGTAGCCAATGGGACTCTTGTTTTTCCCCATTGAACTTTCGATCAAAATAACCCCCTCAACTTCCTCCTAAACTCTAATTAAAAATAACCTACCCTTTGTGTCTTTGGACTTGCCTAGGATTTGTCATAGGTTTCTTGTCCTCTCCTATTCCTGAATAAACTCATTTTACTGATAAAAAAAAAACTGGCCATGTACTTTAAAGTTCATCATACCTGTAAATAACAACTCCCAAAGTTTCCCACCCTATTCCTCTAGTGCCTGGACACACCATTCCACTCTGTTTTTTGAGTTCAACTCTTTTAGATCCTACATATAAGTGATCTCATTGAAGAGTTGTCTTTCTGTGTCAGACTTCTCTCACTTAGTATGACTTCAAGTTCCATCCAATTGGTTGCAAATGGCAGACTGTCATTCTTTGTCATGCCTGAATAATATTCCATTGTGTACATATACCACACCTTCCTTATCCATTCATCCACTGATGGGCACTTAGGTCGTTTGTCTATCTTTGCTATTGTGAATAATGTTTCAATAAACATGGGAGTGCAGCTATCTCTGGTAATCTGATTTCTTTCAGGGAGCTTGGAAAGACAAGGTTTATTACTCAGAGTTCCTAGAGGGAACATGTCATACCTGGGGCCACACAGCAAGCACAGCGGTAGACAGAGAAAGAAAGACAGACAGAGGGAGGGAGAGCAAGTCAGGCAGTAGCATTACAATAATAAAAAAGCCAACTGTCAGGTCTTTACAGTGGACGTGGGAGCTGCTTTTGTTCAACATTAGCTTGGAGGGGGCCCAGGAAGATGTTCATTGACCTTGAGGAGATTGACATGCACACACCTATCTACATTGTCATTGTTTCTGATGCTTTCTTAGAGAACAGGGAAATACGCCTTGTGTCCGTGACACAGAATTAGACTTTGACAGCCGAATCCTTTTCCCACTACTGCTGGCAGCAGAGTGTGTCTCCGTGGGATTTCTTCCAAAGGGAAGATAGTTTATTTCACTTGGCTCACATCAGTGTTCCCCCCACCTTCCTGGTGGTTCTCTCCACAAGCAGCAAGACAGCCAAAAAGAGGAGGGTTTGCATAATTGTTCCCTGGGCAGGACCCTCTTGCAAGTCTGAGATAAAAGGTCAGCTTGACCTTGTTTTGATTTATCAGAACTCATCAGTTCAGCTTCTCAAAATGAGTTTCCCTCCTCTGCTCCTTCCGTCGCTAATGTTCCAGTTCCCAGGTAAGGACAGAGTGGGGCATGTGAAAGGAGAAGAGGCTGCAGAGGGTGAGCTCTGGGGGGACTGCAGCTCTCCATGTGTATTCTGTACACTTTTAAATACATATTTCTTGGTCTCTGGGTAATGACAAGAGATGTTTGCATCTAAGAGAATGAGAAGGACCTAAAAGAAGAATGACCTATGCTGTAGTGAAGACTGTGCCACAGAAAGAAGGGGATGATGCAGGAGAATTCTAGAGACCCCTTTGTGTTTGAAAATTTCTGTAATTTCTTGGAATGGGATATTTTTAATATGTGAGTCAAAATCACACAAAAAGCAAATTAGCATGAAAAATTTCTGAAGTAAATAATGAAAATAGCTCATAATATTTGTATGTAATCTTGGATTGTTCTCATTGTTTAAGGATCTAATGGGGATGTTGTGATGACCCAGACCCTTCTCTCCCTGTCAGTCATCCCTGGAGAACCAGCCTCCCTCTCCTGCGGGACCAGTTAGAGCCTCCAACAGTGATGGAAATGCATATTTGCACTGGTTCCTGCAGAATCAGGGCCATTCTCCATAGGACCTAATCTATCTGGTTTCTTTTTTTTTTTTTTTAAGATTTTATTTATTTATTTGACAGAGAGAAACACAGCGAGAGAGGGAACACAAGCAGGGGGAGTGGGAGAGCAGGGAGCCCGATGCGGGGCTCGATCCCAGGACCCTGGGATCATGACCTGAGCCGAAGGCAGACGCTTAACGACTGAGCCACTCAGGTGCCCCTCTATCTGGTTTCTAAGCATTACTCTGGTGTCCCAGGCAGGTGTAGTGGCAGTGATCAGGGACGGATTTCACCCTGATAATCAGCACGGTGGAGGCTGAGCATGTTGGAGTTTATTACTGCCAGCAAGGTATACAATATCTTCCACCCTGGGTCAGCCCTCCACACAAATCTCCTTGCCTAGAAGAAGGTCCAGCTGCTCACATGTATTACTTCCCTGGGGAGTAAGCAAAATAGATTCTGAGTCTAAGAGGAAGGCGTTGGAGAGCTCTGGGGAATTGTGTGCAGCTGAGGGCCCTGGACCATGCATGGCTAGGGTATACCTCAGGCACCACAGGTTACAGTTCCTCCACTGCAACAGCCTTAGCATGGCAGACCCTACAGCAGAATAGATGGGGTCGGGGTTCCCTCTGAGCAACTGGACGTATCAGAAGGGAGAGCTGAGTAAAAGCTCATGCTAGTCCTCCCTGCACTGCATACATTCATCAGTTAATTTTATTCGGCCCCATCACTGTGACTGATTTGTAGCTACACACACAAAAAAATCCATTTTTGGTTTTGTTCGTTTTGATAGTTGCTAGCGTCCAGCAGCAGGAGGATATTTGGTGATCGCTTCTCGGCATTTTGGCTAAGATCAAGTGTAGTATCTGTTCTTATCAGGAGGATATGTGGTGATATTAAGATACTGCTGTCTTCTTCTCCCTCACCTTCCCGCCCGTACCCTGTCCTAACACCTATCTCTGTCCTGCGGGGGCAAGCACAAGACGTGTGGTACTGTCCTCGGTGGAGGAACTGAGAAAAACTATTCAGACTCTTGATTTTTTATCTACTAGATAGACTTAATAAACTCTTCATAAACAAAGGCTTAGCCCGAGAAGTCTGAAAAATCTCAATCACAGCAAATTGAAGTCAACTGAGGTTTTTGAATTCCAAAGCTGGATTTTATACATAAAGAACCAAGTCAGAAGAATGAGGGAGCATAAAATGTATGCCATAGTCAACAGAATTTGGATGAATACAAGAGAATATAAAAGCCCAAGTTGTGCCTGTTGCAATCAGAATCTTAAGTCTTCCTGCAGGGACAGTAATGAGAATGTGAAGACACGTGGTAGAGGTCAGCTATTGGAACAACATCAAGCTCCGGGGCTCATGTGTATTGGGGAGGAGATGCTGGTGGGGTTGAGGCTCAGATTTGGATCCACATGGAAAGTCAGATGTACTTCCTGGGAGATGACAGAGTAAAGGGACCACTGCGTGGCCTCCCCAACCATGCCCCGCTGACACTGCCAGTTTCATGGAAAGTGTTGGCTCTAGTGGTGGGACTCTAGGTCCTTAGCAATTCCAAGTTTAGTGAAGTTCCTATCTCATTCCTAACCTGGATCCTATTATACATTCTTATTCAAGCCAGGAGAGCATAGGTGAGCTTCCAAAATTTGATTCTACCCCCAGAGTATGCCTGGAGAGATTTGAGAAAAATGATCATTGAGAGAACATGTAGACAAAGAAGATGGTGACCAGAGGCAGAGCCAGGGCTGGGAAGATTGGCAGGGGATGCAGTGGTGGGGCTAAGGCTCCTGCCTGAGACAAAAGCACAATCAGCGCAGCATTATAAAGGGAAAATGTGGGAGCTTTAACTCTGTATTTCTGACTCAGAGGCCCAGCCACATTTCCCATCCCAGACTTCAGCAAACGTTTCCAGGAGAAATCCATCCTGGGGTTAAAGGCTCAGCTCCGGGCTTATCTATTAAGACAGCTCCCTGCAACTGCCAAAGCTCAGCTGCATTCTCTTCCCCAGCAGAGCCCACCTGTCTAGGCCAAGCGAGAATATCTGCCCACATTCAAATTTTGCAATTTCCACTAGGGTATAAAATGACAGGAGAACATCCCATCACCTACAAAGAACTTTCTGTCTCTGGAAATGTAGGTCATCTGGTCTTCGTTCCTTGTATGGCTCTCTGATGTCATCATAAACATGAGTTTTACCTTTATTTTTTTGTTCTCCTCTGTAATTGTTGCAACGGTAGTGTAGGTCTCGTAAGATCTACTGCATCCTAACAGAAAGTGGAAATGCCTTTTATTTTCAAATAAAGTATATTATGTGGATAAGACATTGGTGGTATATTGCAAAACCCGGTGGTCTAGATCAATCTATTAATGCATGTGGCATGATCATGAAAATGCTTCAAGGTAGAGAAAAGAAATCACTGAAGAAATGTTGGTGGTCCTGCCATCATCAAAATGACAATTGACAACTAATGTATTTCCAAATTCCAGGCACATTGCCTAGATATATATGCTTTACAGATGCCCCACTGACAACGGGTGCTCTAATAACATTTTGATTAAATGAAAAGGCATATTAGTTATGGGGTTATGGGAGAAGTAAATGAAGGTTTGAATTCACAAAATAAAACAATGCTGCATTTGCTTAAGGAAGCAAACTATATTTGTGACGATTACCTGCTCCCAGATACTATATCCCATGGACCATGTGTGGTGCACTGTGTCTCTCTTCACCATGATAAACAGATGGGACCTGACTAAATCTATTGATCCACCAGTTCCCTGTGCCCCAGCCACTCCCTGAGGACTGAACACTTCTACCTGTTACCCTAGGCCTTCCTCTACATCCCAGTCCCACCTAGCATCTGGCTCAAACAGCACTTCATCATGAAAGACATACCGAGTAAAGGGAACGGGATTTCCCTAGGGGACTCAGCAGGTCTGTACATCTTGAGAGTGATCTGTGAGTATAATGGGCACAACGTGCAATCTTTCAGTGCTTTCACCGTCTGAAGTGGTGTCATGTTTCAAATTTATATTTCTCTATTGACAAATGCTGTGGAGTAACCTTTCCTATGTTTATATATACATGTCCACATATATATAATATTAATCATATGTATATGATATATATATATATATGATTTGGAATTCTTTTTTTATTAACATATAATGTATTATTTGTTTCAGGGGTACAGGTCTGTGATTCATCAATTTTACACAATTCACAGCGCTCACCATAGCACATACCCTCCCCAATGTCCATCACCCAGCCCCCCATCCCTCCCACCGCCCTCCACTCCAGCAACCCTCAGTGTGTTTCCTGAGATTAAGAGTCTCTTATGGTTTGTCTCCTTCCCTGGTTTCGCCTTGTTTCGTTTTTCCCTCCCTTCCCCTATGATCCTCTGTCTTGTTTCTCAAATTCTTGATATCAGTGAGATCATATAATTGTCTTTCTCTGATTGACTTATTTCTTTTAGCATAATACCCTCTAGTTCCATCCATGTTGTTGCAGATGGCAAGATTTCATTTTTTTTGATGGCTGCATTATATTCCATTGTATATATATACCACATCTTTTTTATCCA